GGGAGAGTTTAAGGCGTGCCAAAGTCCCGGAGCAAGAGGCACCAAAAACACGACTCTTCCAGAGGTCCTTGTTTTAATGGAACTTTGCTCTCGCCCGGACATTTTTCATCTGCAGATCTTTTCTTTTTCTAATTAAATCTAAAAAGAAAGCAATTGCCCACTTCAGTTGTTCGGGCTCTCTGAGGGACACTTGCAATATAATAACTATCATTATGGAGTATCAGGTCAGCCTCTGACACCCTCTGTGATTTATCCACCCATTAAGAATCAGAAACAAAGGAGAAGGAACCGTTGCCTTGCCAATGCGACGACGCCTGGCTTTTTATCGCTCCCTAGAGCGGCTGGGGTCCAGATTCCCTACGCAGGCAATGCCTTCCTCCGTGGGGAGAGCTGAGGCAGCCTATGGACCTTTTTAAAAGAAAGAGAACCAGGCAGAGGGCCTTCTTGGTGGTGGGCCCTTCCTGTGGAACGCCCTCCCATCAGATGTCAAAGAAAGAAACAACTATCTGACGTTTAGAAGACATCTGAAGGCAGCCCTGTTTATAGAAGTTTTTAATGACTGATGTTTTAAAATATTTTTTATCTTTTGTTGGAAGCTGCCCAGAGTGGCTGGGGTATAAATTAATTATTATTATTACTATTATTATTATTGATTTCTGTGGCCTCTGTTGACGTCAGGCAGCCATAACTGCGACTGCCTGAGGCCTTGCGCAGGGGAAAGACGGGCCCTTTTAATAGCCAGGGGGCGGCGTCTGCATTGAGGTAAGATACGTTCTGATTGGGTCTGGGGTAAGAGCAGGCTTTGATTGGCCGGAGGGCTGCCTCCTGGGTGAAGAAAGGCAGCTAACGGTTAGGCGGGAAAGTCAGTTGCTGAGAGAAAGTCCGCCTGAGGCAAAAGTCAGAGAAATCTGAGGGGGAAAAGAGCGGCTGAGGGGAAAATAGTCAGCTCTTCATCCCTCAGCACATTAAGGATTTTGGGGGGTGAAGGCCTTGAGGAGAAGGCCTTGCCAGAAGAAAGTTTCATAAGTGTGTGTGTGTGTTTCATAAAATTTAGTTGCCGCTTGATTGTGGGTTTTTAAAAAAAACAAACCCTCAGAAGTAGTTTACGATAAAACAGTAAAATAAAAATTTGAAATTTCACAAATCCTGTCTGTGAAATCACCCCAGGCTTCAATAATCACCCCAGGCCTCAAAACTGTTCAAAACTGTTCAAAATTCCTTTTGTCTTCTAAAAATCCACAGCTACAGCTTTTCTGTGGATTCTCACAAGATGCTGTTCCAAAGTCAAAATGTTATTCTTTTATCAGCACGAGAAGGCTTCAAAAAGCTAATGAATAGGCTCTGTTCAAAGCAGGCCTGAGAAACGAATCTTATCTCATTCTAGTTGCAACATCTTTGGACATGCTGAACCGCTTTCATTCCCCTTTTCCTGGGAAGGGTGCCAAGAGTCCACAATAGTCCCAAGACAGCTTTCTGTTCATGCTCAGAGGAACTCATGGGGCAGGACTCTGGAAAAGGGGAGGGAACTGGAAAGGGGTATATATGCTTGTGCACATGACAGTGAACTTCGTGCATGCTTTTTGTGAGTTATCACACTTGCTCCTTCTACCAGTTCATGGATGGTAGAAATAAAAGCCTTTTCTCCGAACTATTCCTTGAGTGTCTGTTGACTCCCACTTCCCTTTCCCGGGCGCAATATTTTCCCCACAAATTCACAACTATACTTTAAAAACATACGACAGTTAAAATACCAAAACAGGTCAAAATCACCTCAGCTTTCTAATGTTTACTCATTTGTCCGCTAAACAGATTAAAATCACCTCAACTTTCTAATAATTATTCATTTCTCCACTAAACTGTTCGAGCACAATCCTGAGGAGATTTGGGGGGTTGAAGGCAGATTGTACTCAGTAGTTGAGTGAAATTTAGCAGGGGTGAAGGATTAGGGGAGCTGGTCGATGGCTGGCATCAGTGACACTGTGAGTCATTGCTATTAATTTATTTACTACATTAATATGCCACCTTTTGCACCAAGGAGCTCCAGGTGGCATCAAGGATTTCCAGGGGTACACATTATCACATTTATTGTGGCCCTCTGGGCCACCACCACATAAGGAAGTGTCTAGTGATGGACACTGGGGCAAGAGAAATCCTAACGTCTTGCCCCTGTTAATGGGTTTGCAGTCATAGAATCATAGAATCATACAGTTGGAAGAGTCCACAAGGGCCATCGAGTCCAACCCCCTGCCAAGCAGGAAACACCATCAGAGCACTCCTGACATATGGTTGTCAAGCCTCTGCTTAAAGACCTCCAAAGAAGGAGACTCCACCACACTCCTTGGCAGCAAATTCCACTGTCGAACAGCTCTTGCTGTCAGGAAGTTCTTCCTAATGTTTAGGTGGAATCTTCTTTCTTGTAGTTTGGATCCATTGCTCCGTGTCCGCTTCTCTGGAGCAGCAGAAAACAACCTTTCTCCCTCCTCTATGTGACATCCCTTTATATATTTGAACATGGCTATCATATCACCCCTTAACCTCCTCTTCTCCAGGCTAAACATGCCCAGCTCTCTTAGCCGTTCCTCATAAGGCATCGTTTCCAGGCCTTTGACCATTTTGGTTGCCCTCCTCTGGACATGTTCCAGTTTGTCAGTGTCCTTCTTGAACTGTGGTGCCCAGAACTGGACACAGTACTCCAGGTGAGGTCTGACCAGAGCAGAATACAGTGGCACTATTACTTCCCTTGATCTAGATGCTATATTCCTATTGATGCAGCCCAGAATTGCATTGGCTTTTTAGCTGCCGCGTCACACTGTTGGCTCATGTCAAGTTTGTGGTCAACCAAGACTCCTAGATCCTTTTCACGTGTACTGCTCTCAAGCCAGGTGTCACCCATCTTGTATTTGTGCCTCTCATTTTTTTTGCCCAAGTGCAATACTTTACATTTCTCCCTGTTAAAATTAATCTTGTTTGTTTTTGCCCAGTTCTCTAATCTGTCAAGGTCGTTTTGAAGTGTGATCCTGTCCTCTGGGGTGTTAGCCACCCCTCCCAGTTTGGTGTCATCTGCAAATTTGATCAGGATGCCCTTGAGTCCATCATCCAAGTCGTTGATAAAGATGTTGAATAAGACCGGGCCCAAGACAGAACCCTGTGGCACCCCACTAGTCACTCTTCTCCAGGATGAAGAGGAACCAGTCTGCAGATGACAGACTCCTCCAGATTTATCAGGAGCTCTGTGCCCCGCAGTGTAGTAATGGGGCGTCTAGTGTCATGACCCCTACCCTTTGGAACTCCTCCCCTTGAATATTGGGCAGGCACCATCTTTATTTTCTTTGGCACCCGTCCTCTTAACATAAGAATGGAAGAAGAGCCTTCTGGATCAGGCCCATGGCCCAACTGTTGGAATGTTAAAGACAGTAGGGAAGGATATACAGTGGTACCTCTGGTTGCGAACAGGATCCATTCCGGAGCCGTGTTTCTCAACATGAGCAGAACGCAACCCGCGTCTGCATGTCTGCGCATGCGCGGGTGATGATTCGTCGCTTCTGCGCATGTGCGTGACGTCATTTTGAGCGACTGCGCATGCACAGGCAGCGAAACCCAGAAGTAACCCTTTCCGGTACTTCCAGGTCGCCGCGGGACGCAACCTGAAAAGATTTAACCGGAAGCAAATGTAACAAGAGGTATGATTTTATTGAATAAGTATTATCCTTCCTTCACTCACACTAGTAAGTGATGTTGTGGTAGTGGCCCAAAGGGCCACAATAAATGTGATAATATGTAGCCCTGGAAATCCTTGAGTGCGCTTCTAGTAGAGAAGTTATGGTAACCTGTTGCTTTATGAAGCTGATGATTTTGCAAGTTGCAGCCCTCCCCCCTCCCCCCCCCCCCGCATTGGGGCAGAAATACAGCTAATATGTGAACCACAAAGATTCAGCTCAAAGCTAGAACATAAGTTGCTACATGGTGCAAATGGCTATAAAGTGGAACCTCTACTTACGGACATAAACAGTTCCGGATGTCCGTCCGTAAATCGATCCGGGTTGCTGGTAGAAGCGCCGTTGTGTGAAGGCACATTCAGCAGCAGTGCGCTTCTGCGCATGTGCAGACAGCGGCAGCCATTTCTGCACATACGCAAATGGCAGAAGCCGCTTCTATGTGTGCATGAATCAGGGCAAACCTTGTATTTACTTCCTGGTTTGCCGCGGTCGCAACTTGGATCAGGCCCAAGTAGAGGCGGCCGTAAGTAGAGGTTCTACTATACATAGCACAGGTTCCCAACAGGCATACTAACACAATGTAACAGAATATGGTGGGAATCAGCAGAAATTGCTAGTGCTTATTGCGCATGTGTATTAATCATGAAATGAGGTAATGATATAGAACAACTCCAAGTGATTTAGTGATTTAAAAAATCGCATATAAAATCAATTCAAACAACAATGATAAACTACTATTCCCATTTTTACAAATGAGAAAACTGACCGTGATCAAAGGATCTAGAAGCTAAGGTCTTCAGGATTAAAATACAAGAGGTTTCTCATTAAATTGCGCTTGTTGTCACCTCAGGATGATGGCTCCAATGCCATTTACAAACTTTCCAAGTGTATGGTTCTATCTGAAGCCCTCTTCGGGTCCTGCTTGTTGTTAAATAAAAGGACAGATGGAGCAGAATAATAACTGATGTCATAGATATATGGAAACCAAGTTCTGAAGCTTCTAGAACAACATGGTAGTTATTAGCAACGGAAAGGAAGGAACACAGTGGAGGAAGGCGGCCACACTCAGAATGAAGCACTAAGTCGCAGGGCTTTTAAATATAAGAGCCATGAATCCATCTGGGCCTCAGAATAGTTTTTGTAAAGAGCAGCCCTGAATAAAGAACAGAAGCAGGAAGGAAAAGAGCATCCTACTGGAGTAGTTAACAGACACCTCAGGAAACTCCAGAAGTCCTGCTCTGGAGACTGAACAACCTAGCATAGCCATATGCAGATGGGAGTAGAATGGATGAGCCTGAGGAAACTCTTGAGAGCAGTGACGCAAATGAAGGTGGGCTAGATACTGAAGAACAGGGAGATAATGATGGAATCAAGGAGGAAATCAAGGAGGAAATTGTTGAAATTAATGAAGAAGATGCACATGAAATCAATGAGGAAAAGAAAGAAAGTGATGAAATCAAAGATAGTGAGGAGGAGAAACATAATGATGAAATCGAAGAGTTGACACCACACCAGGAAAGTGGAGATAACAGCCTAGCAATGGACCAAGATGTCCCAAAGACAACAAGTTCTGATAAAGGTGAGGTGGAGCGACCTGAGAGCAAAATCAGCATTATTCAGCATAAGGAACTGATAGAGGAAAACCAGCAGCCTGACTTGCCTCCTGGCAGCGTAAGTGCTAGCATGTCATCTCTCAAAAAGGAACTTGGTCATGACTCCCGTCGTGGCAGCCAGCATAGCCAGCACCTCCCGGGCCATGAATCCCGCCGAGGCAGTCAGAGTCAACCTTTAATAGGCCAGGAATCCAGGCATAGCCAGCAGCAACCAGGACACGAATCTCGCCGAGGTAGTCAAGCAGCTGGAGCCCAGGAATCCCGGCATAGCCAGAAGCTCTCAGGACATGAATCCCACCGCGGAAGTCAACAGCTCACAGGCCAGGAATCCCGGCATAGCCAGAAGCTCCCGGGACATGAATCCCACCGCGGAAGTCAACAGCTCACAGGCCAGGAATCCCAGCATAGCCAGAAGCTCTCGGGACATGAATCCCACCGCGGAAGTCAACAGCTCACAGGCCAGGAATCCCAGCATAGCCAGAAGCTCCCGGGACATGAATCCCAACGCGGAAGTCAACAGCTCACAGGCCAGGAATCCCGGCATAGCCAGAAGCTTCCGGGACATGAATCCCACCGCGGAAGTCAACAGCTCACAGGCCAGGAATCCCGGCATAGCCAGAAGCTCCCGGGACATGAATCCCACCGCGGAAGTCAACAGCTCACAGGCCAGGAATCCCGGCATAGCCAGAAGCTTCCAGGACATGAATCCCACCGTGGAAGTCAACAGCTCACAGGCCAGGAATCCCGGCATAGCCAACAGCTTCCAGGACATGAATCCCGCCGAGGCAGTCATCAATCCATTAGCCACCAGGTCCTACAAAGCCATAGACCTTCCACAACACAACCTATAAATGAAGTTGAAACCAAGGAGGACATGACATGGATTAGCCAAAGGACAGGGAAAGTTATGAAATGTGAAAGCCAGCAGACCAGTAGAATTTGGGAGCACAAGCCACTCTCTGAAATTCTGCAACCTCTTGGTTACCCGAAAAGTGTAGAGAAAGCAGCAGGAAAACCACCTGCAGTAGCTCGTGTCAGCAGCCAAGAGTCAAAGCAGCAACAACCGACAGAGGATGGGTCTTGGATCAGCAAAAAAACAGGGAAGTTATTGAAATGCACAGGTCAGCAGACAAGTAAAATCTGGGAGCGAAAGCCTCTGGCAGAAGTTCTTCGTCTTTCTCGCCAACCAGATGCCGATAGTGATGCTGGAGAAAAAGTGAAAACTGCCGAAGAAGTGATTGTTGCTCCCAAAGATTCGGAAGCTAAACCAGTAGAAGTGGCAGAGGCTCGCATCAGCAGCCATGAAGTTCAGGAATCCCAGCAAGGTGATCAAGAGGTGGAAGGAAAGGAATCACAGGTGGAAGGAAAGAGAAAAGCTTCTACTAAAATGTCCGTAGACAAAACACTGCAGACCGATAGCAAAATAAGCGTTTTTAGACATAAAGAACTGATGCATAAAAATGAACAGACAGACTTTCCTCCTGACACTTTACCCAGCAGTAGAACCTCTCTCAAAAACCAGCATGAATCCTGGCATAGTAATCAACAAGCAGAAGGACAGGGATCAAGACGTGGTAGTCAACAGGTAGAAGGCAAGAAGTCACAGCAGGAGAGTCAACAACCAGAAGGGCAGGAATTGACGGCTGAAAGCCAGCAACCAGATGCTCAAGGATCTCAACATGAAAGCCAACAGCTAACTGGACAGGAATCTCGGAGAGGCAGCCAACAGCCACAACAGCCAGATGAGAACAAGCCAGCACAACTTGAAAAGGAGCAAGTGCAGCCAGAGGACCATCAGAAACTTCCTGGAGAGGAAACATTCTACCTGGACAGAAAAACTGGTGTAGAAGTAAGATCTGCAAGTCAACAGACCAGCGAGAGTTTGTTCATAGACTACCTAACAAAAATATATGGCCCTCGATATGAGGAGGCTCCTCTTCCAGTAGGTGATCAACCAAAGGCTAAAGAAGATCAGCCCCCAGAGAGTGATGAAATCCAGGATGAAGTTAAGGTAGAGGAGGAAGAAAAACAAGAACCAGTCCCTGGTGGGGGTGAGGAAGCAGAAGCAGAAGTACAGCAGCCTCCCCAACCAGAGGCCCAAGAGCCCCAAGATACAGAGTTGCAAACAGGTGGGCAACAACCAGAGGGTCCCGGATCCCGGAGAGAGAGCCAACAGGCAGAGGGTCCCGGGTCCCGGAGAGAGAGCCAACAGGCAGAAGGGCCAGTGTCCAGGAAAGAGAGCCAACAAGAAGAGATGCCAGCATTCCCGAAAGAGAGCCAACAGGAGATGCCAGGGTCCCCAAAAGATAACCAAGATGAGGAGATGCCAGGGTTCCCAAAAGAGAGCCAACAGGAGGAGATGCCAGGGGCCCCAAAAGAGAGCCAACAGGAGATGCCAGGGTCCACAAAAGATAACCAAGATGAGGAGATGCCAGGGTTCCCAAAAGAGAGCCAACAGGAGGAGATGCCAGGGGCCCCAAAAGATAACCAAGATGAGGAGATGCCAGGGTTCCCAAAAGAGAGCCAACAGGAGGAGATCCCAGGGTCCCGGAAAGACAGCCAACAAGTGGAGATGCCAGGGTCCCGCAAAGACAGCCAACAGGTGGAGATGCCAGGGTCCCGCAAAGACAGCCAACAGGTGGAGATACCAGGGTCCCGCAAAGACAGCCAACAGGTGGAGATGCCAGGGTCTCGCAAAGACAGCCAACAGGTGGAGATGCCAGGGTCTCGGAAAGACAGCCAACAGGTGGAGATGCCAGGGTCCCGGAAAGACAGCCAACAGGTGGAGATGCCAGGGTCTCGGAAAGACAGCCAACAGGTGGAGATGCCAGGGTCCCGGAAAGACAGCCAACAGGTGGAGATGCCAGGGTCTCGGAAAGACAGCCAACAGGTGGAGATGCCAGGGTCCCGCAAAGACAGCCAACAGGTGGAGATGCCAGGGTCTCGGAAAGACAGCCAACAGGTGGAGATGCCAGGGTCCCGGAAAGAGAGCCAACAGGTGGAGATGCCAGGGTCCCGCAAAGAGAGCCAACAGGTGGAGATGCCAGGGTCCCGGAAAGACAGCCAACAGGTGGAGATGCTAGGGTCCCGCAAAGAGAGCCAACAGGTGGAGATGCCAGGGTCCCGCAAAGAGAGCCAGCTATTTGCACAGCATGAATCTCCACTACATACCCACCTATCTGTGGGTGAAATAACTGAACAACCAGGTCCCTCCGAAAGCCAAGGAACACTAGGGAGCATTGTGTCATTTACCGAAGGGGAGGATGTAGCTCTGCAGACGTACAGCATAGTTTCTCTCCCGGATGGAATTTGGCTGAACAGGAAGACAGGCAAGTTTTTGGTAAGCCACGGTCAGCAGACAACAGTCACTTCACTTTCAGCCCTGAATCAAATAGCACTGGAAGAGGCCGCAATTGCTTCAAAGCCATCTGGACTTGGCGCTGGCGGCGAGGGAGTGGTGGCCAAGGCCTTGGAAGTGCATCAGGACAGTGCTACAGCTGAAGCAAAGCCTGAAGAGGACCAGCCGCCACCTTTAAGCCAGGAATCCCGCCGTGCTAGTCAGCAGTCGAGGCACAGCCAAGGATCCCGCCGTGGCAGCCAGATTCCTTTGGAGCAAGAACCCAGTCCTGTCAACCAGCCAGCTTCTGATGACCATAAGGAAGAGGGGCTCCAGGAAGCGGAGGATGCTGAGGGAGAGCTGAGCCATCGCTTGAGTGAAGCAGCCCTGGAGAGCATAGCAGCAGCAGCAGCCGCGGATGGAGAGGACAACGTATCTCAGCGGACTTACAGTTCCATTTCTCTAGCGAAAGGTTCCTTTGTCAACAAAAGAACAGGCAGGTCGCTGGTATCTCAGCAACTGCAGACTGAAGAGTCTTCATTTCATAACACCGGAGAAGCAGTGGAAGAACCCCAGGACGGTGACCAAGTACCTGAAGAAGACCAGGTTGAAAATCCTGAGCCAAGTGAACCTGAGAACCCCGGGGAATAGCAGGTGCAACAGCGGGAAAGAGAAGAAGGTCCTTATATGAGCAGACAGTTAGTTGATGGCTAAGGCCCAGCTTACCCTGTGAGTAATGAGCTGTTCCTGGAATCGTAGAGACCTGAGTGGCAGAACCACCTGTATCCCCAAGAGATATCCCCAGGAGTCACCATGTCCTGTTTTCCGAACAGAAGGCACAGTGGCTAGCAAGGGGAAGCGAAGTTCCTGGGAGCATGGTGGGCCTCTTTCATCAGAAAAGCAAAGCCTTAGGCTGAAAGAAGCAGAATAAAAAACAAAAATGGGAAACGTGTGCCTTCCTTTGTCTTTCAACGTATGCAAAATTCTTGTCCTTTCGGTTAATTTTTCAACATACCCAGGAAGCTCTTAAGAGGCCGGGGCTTTCAGCTGAGGAAGAAATGCAACACAACCACATCATGGGCACATTTAACTCATGCAGTTTTGACCTTATGGGGTTGAAGGGCGGCTGCTTGAAATCTTGCAAGGTTTCCTGGTGAAATTTTCAAAAACAAGAAATTCAGTAATAAGCAATCGAGGTTCTTGATAATTGTAACACGCTCTACGCGGGGCTGCCTTTGAAGCTGACCCAGAAACTCCAGTGGGTGCAGAATGCCGCGGCGAGACTCCTTACGGGGTCCTTGCTGCGGGATCACATTCACCCAGTGCTATACCAGCTGTACTGGCTCCCAGTGGAGTACAGGGTCAGGTTTAAGGTGCTGGTTTTGACCTTTAAAGCCCTACGCAGCCTAGGACCATAGCTGTCAACCGTCCCTTATTTGGCAGGAAAGTCCCTTATCCCAGCGCTGTGACCCGCCGCTGTCCCTTATTGATGATGTCCCTTAAATTTCCCGGGTTTCAAAGGAAGCAGCTCCTCTCCCTCCCCCCCTGCCGGCCAGGGAGGTGCGAGGCTCCAACTGTGTTGCTTGGCTGCGTTGCTCACCCAATAAGGAGTCTAAGAACGACTGAGGGGTGGAGCTTGCATGCCTTGTGCTGATCAAATTGGCCGCGTTGCCTGGAGACTCGCCTTTGCTCAGCGCTTCCCAGCGGAGAGATGACAGAGGTTTTCCTTGCTGCATCCCCTTTGCCGGGTCGCTGCGCTGTGGGAAGCATGAAGCTTGAGGCTTCGTTTGGCTGCTGGCTGGGCTTTCTGCCTTTGGCTCGGAGGGGCTCAGAAGTTGAACATACCTGTGATCGGAAAATCCCTTATTTTGGCTGCTGATCCCTTATTTTCAAATCTGTAAGTTGACAGCTATGCCTAGGACCCTCGTACCTACGGGACCGCCTCTCCTGGTCTGCCCCGCAGAGGACCTTAAGATCCACAAATAACAACAGTTTGGAGGTCCCAAGTCACAAGATTAGTCTCAACTAGGGCCAGGGCCTTTTCAGTACTGGCCCCAACTTGGAGGAACGCTCCGTCACAAGAGACCAGGGCCCTGCAGGACTTGATATCTTTCCTCAGGGCCTGCAAGACAGAGCTGTTCCGCCTGGCCTTTGGTTTGGACTCAGTCTCATCCTTATGTTTCCCTCCCCTTATGGTCTTGATCTATGGGCTACTTTTAAAATGAGGCTGCATTTTAAATTGCATTTTAACCTGTATTTTAAATTGGTCCCCCCCCCCATTATGTTTTTACTGTGATTTACGGGGAGGACGGGGTATAAATTATTACTATTATTATTATTATTATTATTATTATTATTATTACAATAGGCCCTCCAAGTGTTCCTGCTTTCCAAGGACGGTCCCAGATTTACAGAAGCCATCCCGGTTTCTGATTTGATCCCAAATGTCCCGCTTTTCCTTATGATATCCCTATTTTCATCGGGGCAACCCAGTTATGTGGGCAGGGTATAAACAATAAATTTACTCCTCCTACTACTATAGAACAGGATGTCGCTATTTTCATCAGAGAAATGTTGGAGGGTGTGTTACAATACTGCATCCGAAATAAGCTTTGGCCCACCCTATGCCATACATCTCCATAACCAAGGGATTCTTATTCTTCTTCTTCTTATTATTATTCTCTCTTTTGAGAACCACCAAAAACACCAACAATAAAAACGGTTGGCTTTGTGCAGCAATCCATGTTCGATGACCACAGGTGACAATGACAGATCTGAAACTGAGGCCGGGCACTCCGCCCTTTGGGTCCCTTCCAGCCCTATAGGTTTATTATTCTGTGAAATAGCTACAGTATGCACAAGAAAAGAAATAGCTTCATTTTGGTGCTTTTAGTTCGGTTTTAGAACGTGTCTACTGGGGACCAAATAATGGGCGAAATTTTCGGATGAGGGAACCGATTAACAGTAAATTGTTTGGAAATTTTAGGATAGTATTCAGTTATCTCATCCTGTCAGTGCAAGGATTTCTGCTGATGTACTGGGACTTTTGCCCCTCTGCTCCCACACCCCACCTTCCCCAAATCTGCTCCAAGGGGATGATGATGATGATGATGATGATGATGATGTGGGAGGCACAGAGGGGACCATTCCATTGCACAACCAGAAATCCTTCCACTGACAGAATGTCCACTCAACGCTGCATTGGATCCTGCCCTTGGCATCAGCCGACCTTCTTTTGGTGACTTTGAACAGGAGAAAGATGATAAATTCTTAATGGATATTATGAGGAGCAAAGCATTAAATATAAATGGAACAAGGTGGTTGGACTGTCAAATGTTTTGCAAACGGACAGTGACTAATTCGGGAAAAGGCGCTAAGGAGTTTGTGGCAGAGACTGAGAAAAGAACTTCATAAGCAGGGCAAATGCAGCTGTTGAAGTTATATAACGACTGAGAAAATAAGCCCTAGTTAAACATGTGATTGTTTATTTTTTCAGTTGACTAATGAATCTAGAACTTGATTGTGGCCCGGTAAATTCTTGAGGTCTTAACTCAGGAACGAAGAGAAAAAGAAAAAATGGGGCTTTTGGTTAGAGAAAAATAGGTTAGTCACCGAGCAAGTGTAGATCTTTTTACTCAGCAACTCCAGAAATGTTTTAAAAACATGACACGATGTGAGATTTTGGCCAGAATAATATCTGACTACACAGCCTTGAAACCTGCAGTTTACATGGTAGAGAAGATGGGGAACACACAGATCGGAGGTGGTTCAGGATTTATTTGTGAATTAACTTAAAAAAGGCTCACTTTTATTCTCCATTAAAACTTTCACTTAAAAAGGCATTGAGTAGGTAATACTGAGTTTAAAATTTAATAAATACTTAACCGACCTGGAACAATCTACCAGAGAAAAGGCCTGCGCCCATGGGACAGAGGGTCATTGATGAATGATAATCCAACTTTTACCTTTTAATAGGCCATAAGATTATACGGTAACTATATTTGTAATGTATTTTTGTCGGTGTTTGTCCTTTGATGCTATGGCCTGTTGGCTACGCAAATAAAGTCCTTGTTGTGTTGTGTTAAAAGAGAAATAAAACAATTTTCGTACTGAATTTTACCCCAGGGATGCATACATTTATAATTTGGGAAGCTGGTAAAGCTTACACGAAGGATTTATTAATAAGAGAAATGATCTATTGTAAGCGAAAGCAGGAGGGTTCGTGGGAGGAAATCATTTTTAAAATTAAGGATCTGGAATTGAAGGATAAGTTTAGTGGAAGGAAGGAGAATTGGAAGAAAGGCTGGAACCATCAGGAATAAATGAGCACAACTGGGGCAAGGGGAGGGTCTGGCACATATAATTCCTTCAGCATTTTTATAACAAAGATAGTTCTTAGATTGACTGTGGCAGTGGCGTAGGAAGGGGTGCCAAAGGGGTGGGCCGCCCCAGGTGCCACCCTCGGAGGGGTGACAAGATGGCCTTCCATGCGTGCACCATCTGTACGGGCTGCCTCTCGCACGGTGACCGTAGGGGCTGCCGCACATGCGCAGTCCATACGGGATGCCGCTCATGCTGTGTTAGTTTCTGTTTGCTACTGAGCAGCTGCTTAGAGTCACAGGACTCTGTTTACATTCCAGAGACCTTCCAGGCTGTTGGAAGTCTCACGGGAAAGGAGACAGGATGTGACGTTAGTGGTTTCCTGTTCCTTTGTTTCCTTTGTTCCTTTGTTCGGTTGCTCTCTGCTTTCATAGAGAGAGGATGTCTTTTCTGTCTGCGTAGCTTAGAAATAAAGCATAGCAGTGTAGCCCATACCTCTCATCTCTTTCCTGTGCCGGAAACTCTGCTTAATGGATGGGAACATGCCTTGGAGCCTCATCAATGGTCAGGTCATCGTCGGGAGGCGATTCCAAAGGCTCGGCTGGAAGATGAGGCTTTATCAGCCTGGCTGAGCGGAGATCCCGACATGCGGCAGCCTGTACAGTCGCTGTGCAAGAGGCAGCCCGTACGGACTGCGCATGTGCAGCATCCCGTATGGACTGTGCATGTGCGGCATCCCGTACGGTCACCGTATATGCACAGTCCGTACGGGATGCTGCTCACGAGTGGCAGCCCGTACGGACCGCGCATGGGTGGCATTCCGTATGGAGTGTGCATGCGCAGGATGCCGCACATGCGCAGTCCATATGGGCTGTGCCGCCCCGGGTGCTGGAGAGGGTTCCTCCACCACTGGACTGTAGTAATAAATAATACAGTAAATGATAAGTACCTACCGGAATCCTGGCCACCGGCAGAAATAGTTATGATGTTGAAAGAAAGGAAAGAACTCACTAATGTGAAATCAGACTATCCAACAGCAATTCTTAACCAGGATTACAAGGCTGTGGCAGCAGCAACAATTGCAAAGAGGATCAATTTAATTATTGGCTAATAGATTAAGGAGGATCAAGACTGTTTTGTGAAAGCGATTTTGTAAAATCATATAAAGAGTACAATAAAGTTAATTTGTAAGAGTAATAAGCTTAAACGGTCTGCTATTTTTATACATTTGCGTATGAAAAAGGCTCATAATAGGTTTGAAAGAGAACTTCCAAAGGTAAATTTGCGGTAGAAAAAAGTGAGAGCAGGATAGTACAAAACCTTGAATTTTCTAAAATGGAATATTGTCATTTAGAAAGGGGCTCTGCATCAAGGGTCCCCCTTTAATCTGCATTATTTCTTATTTTTCCTCAAGCATTTCGCCTTGGCCATTTTAAATAATCAGGAAACTAAAGAGTTAGATTCCATTCCCCAGAAAGTAAGATCATGCTGTGGATCACATCGTATTTTTTGTGTTGGTCTGATCCCATAGGAGGCGAAATAATTGGACCTAAAAATGAATTTATTAGGGTGGGTGCTTCGAAGACAATGCTAAGAATACAAGTCAAATGGAAGTCTACAGCTGTGCAATATCTGGGTTTATGTGTTTAGCACCTAGATCGATCATATGGTTTCAGACCATTTTGATTTCCCTGTTAACATGATTCAGAGACTGCAGAATAAAGAGATTTAAACATTTCTTGGTTTCTGCTTTCCAGGATTTGGGGCAGGGAGTCTTTCCCAAAGGTAAGGTAAAGGTAAAGGGACCCCTGACCATTAGGTCCAGTAGTGGCTGACTCTGGGGTTGCAGTGCTCATCTCGCTTTACAGGCCGAGGGAGGCAGCGTACAACTTCTGTTGTGAGGTTCTTTCAGGATTGAACACAACATCTATCGAGAATCATGACCTGTGTGGGATGCGTGTGCACAAAGCAGACACGGAACAGAGTGCTACAGGTTGTAGAGGTTCCTTTGAGCCCAGTATGGAAGAAATACAATTCAGCGATGCTTCCAGGACTACAGTTCCCAAAGTCATCTGAGTTACTTCTAAACCAGTTTAAGGCTGAAAGGTGATCCATGTGCCCACCAACAAGACTTGCAAATTCAGCGCCAGCCTCCAGCCACTGCACTTGTCAATGTGCCAATGAGCCAAAGGTCCAGGAATATTTATTTCGACTGCTGGGGTTGAGCTAATACCTCATCACCCCTAATAGATCACTCTGCATTACTGCAACTAATACTTTTCAAACATTAATTACCTGGTTACTCTAATACGTGGGTGCTTGTTTTTTTTTAAAAGCAGTTAATGAAAGCCAGCTGTAGTGGCACAGAATAAAGATTAAGTAGCTGTCAAGTTCGTCTCCTTAGAATGGGCTTTTGCTTTTTTTTCTTTCAGCAAGCGAATCCAGCTGCCCTCAGAATGATTGACAGCCTGTGATGTAATTAGCTGCATCTACAGTTTGCAAAACTCATTAAGAAGGGAGTGGGATGTGGGTGTAAAGTTCAGAAATGTTCATATCAGAGCCATAGGTCAGTGACAGAGCACTTGGTTTGCATGCAGAAGGTCTCAAGTTTAACGCGGGTGGCACTGTGGGTTAAACCACAGTGCCTAGAACTTGCCAATCAGAAGGTTGGCAGTTTGAATCCCCGCAATGGGGTGAGTTCCCGTTGCTCGGTCCCTGCTCCTGCCAACCTAGCAGTTTGAAAGCATGTCAAAGTGCAAATAGATGAATATGGTAGGTACCGCTCCGGCAGGAAGGTAAAGGGCGTTTCCATGCGCTGCTCTGGTTCGCCAGAAGCAGCTTAGTCCTGCTGGCCACGTGATCCAGAAGCCGTACGCCGGCTCCCTTGGCCAATAAAGCGATATGAGCGCCACAACCCCAGAGTCGGTCACGACTGGACCTAATGGTCAGGGGTCCCTTTACCTTTACCTTTACATGCTCAATGCTAGAATGGAGAACAACTGACAGATAAGGCGCAAGGAGGGCTCTGCATGCACAGCAAAACAAAAACACAAAAACTTGGGTTGAGTGTTTTCAAGGACTGTGGTTGGGTGGCAGATGATGACCGAAGGTGGCTTTGTTTTGTTTTGTTTTGTTTTGTTGGTGGTAAGCTAATAGATATGGTCTCACAGACACTTTTGTCCTGTACAGTGCTACCTCGGGTTACATACGCTTCAGGTTACATACTCCGCTAACCCAGAAATAGGGTTAAGAACTTTGCTTCAGGATGAGAACAGAAATCGTGCTTCGGTGGCGTGGCAGCAGCAGGAGGCCCCATTAGCTAAAGTGGTGCTTCAGGTCAAGAACAGTTTCATGTTAAGGACGGACCTCCGGAACGAATTAAGTACTTAACCCGAGGTACCACTGTAATGCAAAACTGATGTAAAAGTCTGACTAATTGGGAATCTGGCTTGAGTCTCCATACTTAAACCCGGAAAGGGAATTTTCTTGCTGGATTCCACCTGAAGAGTTGAAAACTGGCCTGGTGTAAACTCCCTTCTTCCTTCCTTTCTCCCCCAAGGCTGCCCTCGTGTGACATCCACCCCAGACCTTCTGCCCTCCTCTTGCCCCTTCCCGAATCTGCTCCTGCCCTCCTCCGTTCCTGCTGCGTCTAACTCGGCTGCGCTGCTGAGATAAGCCCCCGGCAACTGATGTGCTTCCCTGCGATCGGCATTCACATTTCAAAACTGAGCTGACGCAGCCTTTCATATCGCTGCCTGCTGAGCATAATCTGCCCAAGCGATGCAGCAAAGCTGTTGTATCAACCGGCCACGGGATAGAGACGCATCAACAATAAATGTGCTATTCTTTTCCGTATTAATTTGTCATATAGTCGTCATCCCCAAGGACTTTCGATCTATAAACGTTCCCTGTCGCCCTGCCTGGCAGTGGAGGGATCATGGTTGCGATGGGTGACAAAACCTTTGTGTTTCTCATTTCTCAAATTCCAACTGCTTCCTTATTATCTGGTTCTTCATAAGAATGACAGGAATACAAGAGCTCGGTTGGTTAGAGCGTGGTGCGGATAACAGCAAGATTGCAGGTTTGATCCCTGTATGCGACAGCTGCATATTCCTGCATTGCAGAGGGTTGGTCTAGATGATCCCTAGGGGACCCTTGCAGCTCCACCGTTCTATGATTCTCCCAGCCAATATATGTAGAAATATAAGGATATGTTCAGCTGCTAAATATGGACTAGGCCTCTTTGGGTACCCATAGGGAAATGTGCTTTGTGCACTGTTAACAAACCGATCGCTATTATTACAACTACGCAGAATAATTCTATCCCTTCCGTTGTGGAAACAATTCTCAGAGCGGGTAGTGACCAAGGTTGGCATACATTTGCAATTTCCCGGACATATCTGCTGGAATACTGTAGTCGGAAGCAGTGTCCAGGCAAAAAATTGCTTAGAAAGTCCAGGAAATTGCTGGTCTCCCTTAAAATCTGACCCCAAACTTCATTGCTGCTAATATGCCAAAAAAGCTTAACAACGTTTCAGCCTGGGTTTTCTCTGTTTGAAATAATGGCGATCCTAGTGGTGACATACTAAAAACAACCCAAAAGCCATCTTTTGCCATCTCTATTCGGTGTCCTTTGGTTTCACAGAATATGTAACAGTGGCATCTAGCAGACCAAATCAACCAGATGGCCTTATATAGGGAGTAATCATTAAGATTAGGTCCGTATAGTTCAAGCTCTGGTTTTCCCAGTAGTGGTGTATGGAAGCGAGAGCTGGACCATAAAGAAGGCTGATCGCTGAAGAATTGCTGCTTTTGAATTCTGGTGCTGGAGGAGACTCTTGAGAGTCCCATGGTCTGCAAGAAGACCAAACCAATCCATTCTGAAGGAAATCAGCCCTGAGTGCTCACTGGAAGGACAGATCCTGAAGCTGAGGCTCCAGTACTTTGGCCACCTCATGAGAAGAGAAGACTCCCTGGAAAAGACCCTGATGTTGGGAAAGATGGAGGGCACAATTAGAAGGGGATGACAGAGGACGAGATGGTGGGACAGTGTTCTCAAAGCTACGAGCATGAGTTTGACCAAACTGTGGGAGGCAGTGGAAGACAGGAGTGCCTGGTGTGCTCTGGTCCAGGGGGTCACAAAGAGTCGGACATGACTAAGCGATTAAACAACAACAAATCATTAAGATCAGTTTCAATAATAAATATGAGTGGGCTCAGTTCTTTAGGTGCTCAGCAACAGAATCAGCATCCAGCTGCTCTACGCAGAGGCTTTCCAATTACTTTCTCCCCCTGCACACACTTCTTCTCTTCATGTTCCATATCCATGCCTCCATGGCTCTGCTCTGCCTCCGTGGTCAGTGGCAGCCATGCTTCTGAATACCTGTTGCTGGAAGCCACAGGTGGAGACAGTGCTCTTGTGCTCAGATCCTGCTTGCAGGTATCCCACAATGCGCATCTGGTCAGCCACTGAGAGAACAGGATGCTGGACTCGATGGACCACTGGCCTGAGTCAGAAGGCTCATCTTAGGTTGTTACATTCAATTACTGGTACATGTGCCTCTTTGAAAAACAAAACTCTCAAATGCTGCCACAATTATTCTCTGCATCCTTTTGAAGAGATGCACCTAAATCTTTATTTCTGGACCTTTTGCACATGATGGGATGTGAGAAATCAGGTCCTCCCTTAAAGACAGCACGTATTGCGGTGAGACCTGGAAACCAACACCCTGTGTTGTGGGTGGGTATGTTTGGATAGCCACAACACCCAGTTGCTAGGTCCTTTGATGCAGGGTTTAATCAGGCCAATGGGATGCAAGCTACATGGATCAAGGAACCTATTTATGCCCATGCACGTGACCCAGAGCTTCCTCTTTCGGCGCATGCATTTGGAACACTTGCCCACCTCTCCCTACTTTTGGGGCTTTGCGCTTGACCATGCTATGCCGTCGTGTGTCATCTGTCATTGGGACAGGGGCATGGCAATAATTTTCCCCACTTGGCTGATTGGCTGGTGCCATTTGGGTTTTGCCTGCCGCATAGCAAATCGTCACAACTTGTAAGGTTGCGGATAGGCTCTGGTTCAGGTGATAGGGATGTGGGGACGCTCTCGCCATCCCTATGTGAAGAGTATTCTGCTAAAGGAATCCAGGCACTCAATGGTTTGGTCAACCCCTGAGAGGGGGTTGTGCCCGTGCCTGAGTCCAGGGGGACATTTGGGTGGCGGAGATGGCCCGTTCCCGGCTTTCCGTTCATCCAGATGTTCACCCTTGGCTGACCTATGCTGGAACCGTGGGCCAGCGCTGCCTGTTTCACTGAGGTGGGCTTCACTCTGGCCTTTCAGTGATAGCAGTCTTCAGTTCTACAGGCCAATGAAGAAGCCGAGGCAGAGATGAGATGCAGAAGAGGAGCTCCCCATCTGTCTGGAGATGCCATTGAGGACTGAGCTTACTTCTCCACAGGGAGCATAGTTAAAATATGCAGAGGCGGATGGCCACCAACTTGGATGGCTTTAAATGAGAGTTGGACAAATTCATGGAGGAGGAGCAGGCTTCTGACGGCTGCTAGCCAAGATGCCAATGTTCTGCCTCCATGGTCAGAGGGAGAGATGCTTCTCAATTCCACAGTTGCTGCTGTGCTCAAATCCTGCTTGCTGGTTTCCCACAGGCATCCAGTCGGCCACTGTGAGAGCGAGAGGACTAGATGGGCCATTGGCTTGATCTAGCAGGCTCTTATTGTTTTCTTATACATATAGTCATAACTCGGGTTACAGACGCTTCGGGTTGTGCACCGTGCCAAACCCAGAAGTACCAGAACGGGTTACTTCCAGGTTTTGGCACTTGCGCAGAAGCACTAAATCACGCTTTGCACATGTGCAGAAGCACCGAATCGCAACCCGTGTGTGTGCAGACTCGGCACTGCAGGTTGCGGACACTGCGGGTTGCAAACTTGCTTCCCGCACAGATCACGTTCGCAACCCGAGCATCCACTGTACTTTAAAGTCAAGTAAAGGTAAAGGGACCCCTGACCATTAGGTCCAGTCGTGGCCGACTCTGGGGTTGTGGCGCTCATCTCACTTTATTGGCCGAGGGAACTGGCGTACAGCTTCCGGGTCAAGTGGCCAGCAGGACTAAGCCGCTTCTGGCGAACCAGAGCAGCGCACGGAAACGCCGTTTACCTTCCCACCGGAGCGGTACCTATTTATCTACTTGCACTTTGACGTGCTTTCGAACTGCTAGGTGGGCAGGAGCAGGGACTGAGCAACAGGAGCTCCCCCCGTCGTGGGGATTCGAACCGCCGACCTTCTGATTGGCAAGCCCTTGGCTCTGTGATTTAACCCACAGCTCCACACCCAAAACCTTGATCCCCATCCATGAGAATTTCACTGAAATTTTGCCGAAGTTTCAGTTGCAGTTTCTTTTCTTGTTGATTGATGGAGAATTGATGCGGACTCTTCTTATGAGACGGGAGTGGGGAATGGCGGCAGAGATCAAACACGTGCGTTGGGGCACCAGCGAAGGAACGGCCCTCTTCTCTCGTTTCTCCACCTTCCCTGCAAATGCTCCCAATCACCTTTCGGCGGCGGCGGCTGCAGCGGGAATCTTTTTGCTCCCCAAATGAAGATGGATGAAGGTCTGAGGCATTAAGCTCCTTCTCCTTAGTTAACCTCCCGCCTGAGTGGCCGGTGGCATCTCCTTGACAACTCAGCTATCAGTGTTGGTCACAACAGCTGAGCGGGACGGAGGCGAGGCATCATTTAAGGCTGACACTGTCATAAAAGCTGACCTTGAGCTGCTTCGGAAGAAAATGAATTAGCTTATGGGAGTAGCCAAGTGGAAAGCTGGAACTATCATTTTCTAAAGATGTTCAAGGTAAAATGCCCGAGGGACAATCTTTTGTCAGTTTCTGGGGGGTTGATTAACTGTCTTAATTTAGCCGTGATTAATAGTTTTCAAATCTCCGGGGGTGGGGGGGTGGGCTCCAAGTTTTCTTACATGCTACGGTGAACTCCTGTTCCAAAGAAAGCCAGAAGAAGCCTACAGGTGGACAGCAGGCAGCCTGTTTCGCAAGCAGGAATCCAGAAAATTATTGCTGTCGTTGTTTCATTACGTTTATATAGTGCCCTTCATCCAAAGATCAGAGGGTGGTTTACAACATAAAAACACAAAACCCATAATACCAAGAAAAGGACAATACGCACCTCTCTCCGAGACGCAAAGCCAAGTTAGACCCTTTGAGTAGCTGCAGAGGAGGCAGGCGTCACGGGGTCTCATCATAAGAACATAAGAAGTGCGTTGCTGGATCAGGCCAATGGCCCATCCAGTCCATGCTAGAAGCAGGAAAGGCCACCAAGCTGGATGGCTTTAAAAGAGGATAAGACAAATTCATAGAGGAGGAGAGGGCTATTGATGGCTACTAGCCAGGATGGCTATTGAAATATACTCAGAGTCCTGTAGTGATTTCATGCTCTTTATTGCAGCTTGTAAAACAGTGACTGAATTGCCCCCCAAACCTCAGGCTTTTATACACATTACAATGAGTCCCATCTGATTGGCTGGTTCTGCTTCCGTCCTGAGAGCCAGTGTGGTGCGGTGGTTACGAGCGGTGGACTCGTAATCTGGTGAACCGGGTTCACGTCTCCACTCCTCCACATGCAGCTGCTGGGTGACCTTGGGCCAGTCACACTTCTCTGAAGTCTCTCAGCCCCACTCACCTCACAGAGTGTTTGTTGTGGGGGAGGAAGGGAAAGGAGAATGTTAGCCGCTTTGAGACTCCTTCGGGTAATGATAAAGCGGGATATCAAATCCAAACTCTTCTTCTCTTCTTCTTCCTGGAGCCTAACTGGTCTTTTCCTGCAAGCCAATCAGTTGTTGCATTCTAGGATCCTACTTGCCTATTGTTCTAGGATCCAAGCTTAGTACATAACAGCTCTGGCTCCACGGTTGGAGACAGCAATGCTTCTGAATACTAGTTGCTGGAAACCACAGGAGGAGAGAGTTGCTCTTGTGCTTGGATCCTGCTTGCTGGTTTCCCATTGGTGCATCCGGTCGGCCACTCTGAGAACAGGATGCTGGACTAGGTGGGCCATTGGCCTGATCCAGC